ATCAGGGAGATCGATCAGGGAGTCCGATCAGGGAGCTCGATCAGGGTGCTCGATCAGGGAGTCCGGTCATGGGAGCTCGATCAGGGAGCCCGATTTTGGGAGTCCGATCATGGGCCTCGATCTTGGGCTCGATCACAGCCCAAAATTTCCAATAGAAGAGAAATATTGCAGCAACTGTTTAAGTCCAATTTTTGATCCGTTAACCATATGAAACTCACCCGAGGCCCTCGGGACCTCAACCAAATATACCAACAAGTCCTAAAATATCATACAAACTTATTTGAAACCTCAAATCACATTAAACGACGCTAAAACCACGAATTATGCTACAATTCAAGCTTAATAAAACTTAAAATTTCCAACTTCTACATTCGAAGTCGAAACCTATCAAATCAAGTCCGATTGACCTCAAATTTTGCACACAAGTCATAAATGACATAACGGAGCTATGAAAAGTTTCGGAACTGTATTCCGACTCCGGTATCAAAAGGTCAACTCCCCGGTCAAACTTCCAAACTTAAATTCTTGTTTTAGCCATTTTAAGCCTAATTTCACTACGGACTTTCAAATGAAATTCCGGTCACGCTCTTAAGTCCAAAATCACCATACGGAGCTGTTGGAATCATCAAAATTCTATTCTGGGGTCGTTTGCATATAATTCGATATCCGGTCACTATTTGAACTTAAATTTTTAATTTTTCATCAAAATTCCATATCTCTGGCTAGGGACCTCGGAATTTGATTCCGGGCATACGCCCAAGTCCCAAATCATGATACGGACCTACCAGAACTGTCAAAACATTGATCCGAGTCTGTTTGCTCAAAATATTGATCAAAGTCAACTCAATTGAGTTTTAAAGCTCTAATTCATATTTTAAATTCATTTTCACATAAAAACTTTCCTGAAAATTTTACGGACTGCGCACGCATTCGAGTAATGATAAATAGTTCTTTTCAATGTCTTAGAACACAAAATTAATTATTAAGTTTAAAGATGACATTTTGGGTCATCACAAGTTTAAAGTTTATATATAATCTCTTATGTTTATTCTAATATCTCTTGTGTTTAAAGTTAATGATCTCTTATGTTTTACTATAAGATCTCTTATATAACTAGTTTAAAGTTTTATCTAATTAATTGTTTTAAAGTTTTTACTGTAACTAGTTAAAAGAGATTTCGGACATTAAGTGTGTTTGTTTTTAAAGTCTGAATCTTAATTATTCAGTTCTTAATTGTTAAGTGTATTTTTTTTTTACTTCACAATCACTTAATGGGTCTGAATAGGTTTGTATCATTAAGATCTATAACAGAGACTTAATTTTATTAAGATGCTATAATCCATATTCATTATTAACTACCGCCACCGCCTACCATTATCAACTACCACCATGCCATCCACCACCACTATACTCAACCACCATTACCATCATCCTCAATCATAGCCGCCACTATTGTCGACTACCACCATCCACCATCCCCACCATTCCCACAACCATCATTCTCAACGACAACCAACACTCCTCCACCTCAACTATCACAACTAACCACCCCATCACCATCAACAACAATGTTTGTCACTGCCCATCATTATAAACTACCATCACCCACCACCATCTTTCTCAATCACAACTACCACCACCACCATTCGCCATTATTAACTATCACCACCCACCACCACCATCCTCAATCATAATAGCTACCACTACCAATCACCACTAGCTACTACCCTAAACTACCACCATCAACCAAATCTACCACCAACCACTGCTTTTAGTCGATATTCACAAGTACTACCATTAGCCATCACCACCAGCAACTATCATATTTTAAAAAGCTATATATTTTAGTGATGGAATATTAGATTAATTAGTATTTTATTTAAATTTTATGTTTATTAATTTTAAAATAAACATAAATTTTATACATCCAGATGTTAAAAATCAAATAGTGTTAATCATTTAGTATTCAGATCTTAATACATATCTTAACATTCAGATGTGTATTCAGATTCAGATGTCTTAATCTTAATACACATTTTGATATTCAGACGTGTATTCAGATTCAGAAGTCTTAATCTTAAAAAAAATAAATGAGGCCTCAGTGTTTTTAGATGCAGACGATGTTAAGCAAGTGTCAGAGGACTACCTAACATATGTGGCCAATCCAACATTCTTTGTATCATATCCTTGGGGTAAAGTATGCTTTAAGCTCACACTTAAAAAGTTTAAGGAAGGACCTTCATCATAAGGCAACGGAGTAGAAGAAAAAGGTAGAAACAAGTATTTCAAAAAAGAAGAATCCACAATCTTACACTATTGGAGGTTTCACTGCTGCTTTTCTTGTAAGTTTCATTGTCAATTAATCGTTATTATTTTCTTATAACATCTTATAATTTAATAGCAATATACATATGTTTCCCTTGATAGGTATGGGCTTATGAAGCGATAGATATGTTTGGATCTAATCTCGGAAAGAAGTCTTTTGCTTTGAATAATGCAATACCCCGAATCGTTCGATGGCATTCGGAAAAAACTCCACAACACTTGAGTTATGATTGGTACGATAAGTTGATAAGTAAAAATGAGGTATGATTTTGTTACTAATAAAATATTACTAATATTAAATAAGTTAGCGGATAGATAAATTATTACTAATATTAATTTATGGTATTGTATCACATGTGCATTCCATTCCAATAATGAAGCCATCTAAGAAAGAATCTAAAAGCAAATGGGTAAAGTGATTTGAAGAATTGGTGGACGAGGAAGACGAAACTATTGATGAGTTAGTAAGAAAGTTGGATAAAATAGAGGTTTTAGGTCCTCTTGATAGTATAGATGAGCAGCAGCAACAGCAACAACAACAACAACAACAACAACAACAACAACAACAATGACAACAACAAGGGCAAGACCAACAACATGAGCTTGAACAAACACATGTGATTAATAAAGATGTTGTTGAGAAGAGGCAAGTGATTAATGAAGAGAATCGTCTTCATGCAAGTCCTCCACTGGAAAAAGAATCATGTGCACATGAGACACCTATGATGGGTTGTAGTCTAAATGATTTTGATATTTTTGGCATTGCTGCTTCTGGTTTTAATAGGCTGGCTTCTAGTTTTGATGGATTTCATTCTCGTAGTAAAACTAATATTAAAGATGGTTTTGAGGAGCGGTTAGGCAAGGTTGAGGAGTATTTAAAGATACATTCAGAAAAGGTGAAAAAATCTTTGGATGATATTCAAAAAAGTTTGAATTATTTGATGAAGATACATGATACTAAAGTTTCAAGGGATATTAGACGTCCAACTAGATTTAGGAGCCCATCTTGAACAAGTGATGGATGACCAAAAAGGAAACATAGAGTAGCTAAAATGATAAGGCAATCGTGCAAGCGTCGCCGACTAAGAAAAAGTACTATGGAAGTAGTTACTCCTCCTGCTTTGCTGGATGATTCTTTTGAAGAGTAGAGGAAGTTAGATGAAGAAGATCAAGAAAATTCATGATAGTTACTTATGTTCTTTTTTGAAAATTCATGGAAGTAGAACTTACTGTGCAGATGNATATATATATATTTTTTTTTTCTCCTATACTTTATTCTAAAATCTCTTTTGTTAAGTTCATTAGTATCTTGCAATTTTTTATCTCATGTGAAAGAGATCTAACATTTAGTCGTAAGAGATTTCTTATGCTTTATACATCAATCTCTTGTGTGAACATAATATCTCCTACATTGCAGCAGAAGAATCTCCTGCATTTTATATTAATATCTCCTACAGTTTACTATAAAAATCTCCTGCTTCAAATCTCCATGGTCGCAAGAGATCTATATCATGGTCGTAAGATATCATTAGTTGTCCATAAGAGATTAAGACCATAATATGCGCATTATCTTTCTTTCGTTGTAAGTTGGAGTTATTATGAATAATTACTTAACAAGCATGATCACACTTACTATCAACTAAATTCAGATATTTTATTAAGATAAATTGCTTTTTAATTAAAAAATAATAAGCATAATAAAGGGTGACCACTAAATATAACTTGAGAGATCTACTCGTGGTCGCAAGAGATTTATGTCATGTTGTAAGAAATCATTAGTTATTCATAAGAGATTAAGACCATAATATGCGTATTATCTTTCTTCGTTGTAACTTGGAGTTATTATGAATAATTACTTAACAAGCATGATCATACTTACTATCAACTAAATTTAGACGTTTCATTAAGATAAACTGCTTTTTAATTAAAAAAATAAACATAATAAAAGGGTGACCACTAAATATAACTTGAGAGATCTACTCATAGTCGTAAGAGATTTATGTCATGTTGTACGAGATCATTAGTTATTCATAAGAGATTAAGACCATAATATGCGCATTATCTTTCTTTCATTATAACTTGGAGTTATTATGAATAATTATTTAACAAGCATGATTGCACTTACTATCAACTAAATTTAGACGTTTCATTAAGATAAATTGCTTTTTAATTTAAAAAAATAAATATAATAAAGGGTGACCACTAAATATAACTTGAGAGATGTACTCATGGTCGCAAGAGATTTATGTCATGCTGTAAGAGATCATTAGTTATTCATAAGAGATTAAGACCATAATATGCGCATTATCTTTCTTTCGTTGTAACTTGGAGTTATTATGAATAATTACTTAACAAGCATGATCACACTTACTATCAACTAAATTTAGACGTTTCACTAAGATAAATTGCTTTTTAATTAAAAAAATAAGCATAATAAAGGGTGACCACTAAATATAACTTGAGAGATCTACTCATTGTCGTAAGAGATTTATGTCATGCTGTAAGAGATAAAAGACTTATAACACAGGAGATCGAATCCTTATAACATAAGTGATAAATTTAGTAAACTACAAGGGTTCAACTCTATAGAATAGAAGATTAAATCCCTGAAACAGTTGATAAACTAAGACTTAGGATTTATGAATCCATATAAATATCTAGGAAATTGATGCAAATTAATCAACTACTCTTTTGGGACACTTCCTTTTGTAGTGACCTATTTTCTTGCATATGGAACAACTTATTTTTTGCTTCTTCCTCTTTGGATTCTCGCCAACCGAAGGCATACGATTCACTTTCTTGGGATCTTTTTTCAATTTAACTGAAGGATGATGAACCGTTCTCTTTTCTTCTGATGGCGTCGTCCATGTTTTTGGATGAGGAACAGGATAAATTGTTCTATCCCAAGCTTTCTTCCATGTCTCATTCTTGTTTTTAGGATCACATAGTTTATATATCTCCTCCCATATGTCTTGGCATGTGGTTAGCTTCAAAACTGTTATCGCGTCCTCGCATTGGAGTTTATCCACCTGAAAGACCCTACAAGTACATGACTTGCGCTCCAAATTAACCAAACAATCTATATCACCACCACGAACATGAAACTCATGTTCGTTTAAACGAGTAGGAGCTAGCAAACAAGAGGCAACATAACGTTCTCGAACTAATCCTTCAGCTTTTGGGGTTAAGCAATGAATGTTACTTTGAGCTTTGCCTATACGCTCAATGTACCACCTGGTCATATTATCTTGTATAACTTTGAGTACAGAAACTATTGGCCAGCTTCTTTGAAACTTAAGAACTGCATTGAGTGATTCTGATATGTTTTTCGTCATCAAATTGTACCTATTTCCAGGAAAATAGGCTCTCGACCATTTTTCAAACCCAATATAATTTTCAAGGTACCAATCAGCTTTCACATTTGATTCCATTATTGCATCAAAATAAAGAGAAAACTCATCCAGCTTGTATGCTTTTGCAGCTTGTTGAAAATTATAGATAATGTCACAATCACCATACCTGGACTTTAAATTCATGCTAATATGAAACATGCAAAATCCGTGATGTGCAAGCGTGTAGACATTGGCAACAACAGTCTTTATACTTTGATGTCTGTCTGATATAATGCACAAGTCATCACTATCAGGAATGCATTCAGCTAGCTTCTTGAAAAAATATGTCCATGAGTTATCATTCTCTGAGTCAACAACTACAAATGCAAGTGAAAATATATGCTGGTTACCATCTTGGGCGCACGCTGATATTAGTACACTACCATATTTTCCAGTCAGAATGTCCCATCTACAGAAATTGTAATGACCCGACCGGTCATTTTGCTTTCTAGACCCCCATCCCCCTAAATAAGACTCCTCGTATGTGTTTTAACTACTTTATGACTTGCGAGGATGGTTAGTTCAGAATTTTGAAGGGTTCGGGTTGAAATCGGAACACTTGGTTCCTTAAGGTTGGCTAAAAGGGCCAAGTTTGACTTGAGTCAACGTTTTGAGTAAATGACCTCGTAACCGAGATTTGACGGTTCCAATAGGTTTGTACGATGATTTTGGACTTGGTCGTATGTTCGGATTGGGTTTTGGTTGACCCGGGAGCGTTTCAACGCTTAATATAGATAGTTGGCAACTTGAAGGTTTTAAAGTTCTTTAAATTTGGTTTGGAGTAGATTTTTGTGTTATCGAGCTCCGTTTGGGATTTGAGCCTGGGAATAGTTCCGTATGGTGATTTAAGACTTGCACGCAAAATTTAAAGTCATTCCGAGTAGTTTAAGTACGAATCGGCGCATTCAGAGTAAGTTGGAAGAATTTGAAGTTCATAATTTGATCCTATTTGTTTTGGGGTGAGATTCTTCGTTTTAATGTTGTTTTCCTCATTCCGAGGGTGCGAGAGTCCATTTTATGATTTCAAACTTGTTGGTATGTTTGGACAGGGCCTCGAGGCCCCCGGATGCCATTCGGACAAAGCGCGGAGGTCGTTTGGCCTTGGGTGCATAGCTGAAACACCCAGCTTCTGGTGCAATCGCACCTGCGGAGGGCCAGCCGCAGGTGTGAGCTCGCAGAAGTGGCCCATTGTGAGATGCCCAGGGATCGCAGATGCGGAGTATGGGGCGCACTTGCGAACGCGCTGGTGCGATGGAAGCAATCGCATGAGCGGCAAAAGCCGCAGGAGCGACACACGCGTCGCAGAAGCAGACTCGCAGAAGCGGGCCAGTTGTCCGCAGATGCAGAAGAAGGCCAACTGGGCAAGGGCCGCATCTGCGATGACTTTTCATAGATGCGGAGCTGCAGAAGCGGTCGTCCCTCCGCAGATGCGAAATCGGTGGAGGCAGAATGGTCCATTTAATGCGTGACTTAGGCTATTTTGGCTCATTTTCTTTAATCTCTTGGGCAATTTTGGAGCTCTTGGAGAGGGGTTTTCACCTATCACTTTGAGGTAAGTAATTTCTATTCAATGTGAGTTAAATACATAGATTATGGGTAGATTTTAACATGTAAAATTGTGAAAATCATGGATTTAGATGAAAACCCTAGGTTTTGATAAAAATGGGATTTAACCACGAAAATGATTATGGAATTGAGTGAAAATTATATATTTGAGTTCGTGAGGTTATGTGTAATAACTTTATTCAAAAATTTCTGGAATCCGAGTACGTGGGCCCGATGATGAATTTTAGGAATCCTACAATTGGGGTTGGGTAATCACTCTAATAGTTGGAATATGAACTTTTGAACACGTATTGATTAATTTATATAACATTTGACTAGTTATGGATTATTCGGCACCGAGTTGAGGCTTTAGAACGAAATTGTGACTGGAAAGTGAGCCTTGAGACGAGGTAAGTCTCTTGTCTAACCTTGTAAGTGGGAACTTGCCCCATAGGTGATTTAAATTAATATTTACTTCTAATTGTGGGGCTACATACGCACGAGATGAGAGAGTCCGTGCGTAGCTACTATTTATGCTTATGTCAGGATAGTTTAGGACCCAAACCATGAATTACTTGTAATGTTTGTACCCTATTTGTTAATTTAAGTGCCTAAATTATATTAGAACTTGTTAGAGGAATCGTAAAAGACCGAATTTCACTTACTTGAATCTTTAGCGGATTACTTGACCGTTAATGGAAATTTTATTATATTATGTATTAGCCTTGTTATAACGTTTAAGCCAAATGCTTATAAAATATCCTCTCTTCTTGTGGAGTGGGCTGAATGCGTCGGCAGTAGATAGATGCATCTATGGATCGTGCCGCACGTTCTTCGGCAGTGTACACGTTATTCTGAATCCGACCTCGGCATAAATCGTGCTTATTAATACTCGGAGCCTAATCATACTTGATATTATTTTGTGACTTATGAGGTTACACTTATTAATGACGGGAATTTATTTGGGATTTATTAAATTGTGAAAGAATTATTTGCTCCTGCTTGTTAATGAGTTATTATAATCATTTACATAACTCATGCTTATTTAGAATTTCTGTATTCATATTATTAGCCCTTAGTAAGTGTCGAAGTCGATCCCTCGTCACTACTTCTTTGAGGTTAGACTAGATACTTACTGGGTACATGTTATTTATGTACTCACGCTACACTTCTGCAATAATCGTGCAGGATCTGAGGCAGGTGCATCTGAAGGTCCTACCGGCACGCATCCCAGATATCCTGATGCCTAGTGGTGAGCTGCTTCCTGAGCCATTCCACAGCATCTAGAGTCTCTCCTTTGCATTTATTTCTATCTATTTTCATTTTAGACAGTAGCTAGAGTTTTGTATAATCTATTAGTGCTCATACACTTGTGACACCAGGTTTTGGCACACACACTAGCAGACATATGATTTTGGATTATTCAATTGTTATGATTGCACTCAGCTGCTTTCGTCTATTTATTTAAAATTTGATGTTTCTTAACCTTTTAATTAATGGAATTTTATTACTTGAAAACTTATTAAAAGAGAAATAGCATGGTTTAACTCACTGTTGGCTTGCCTAGCGGTAACGTTGGGCGCCATCACGACCTATAGGAGAATTGGGTATCACTCTCCTCATATGAGAAAATTCTTCTATAGATGTCCCATAAGTAAGAAAAAAATATTTGGATTTGTTATGTTCATCCAACACTAAGTCTGTCCTCGAACCCGGGTTTTTTTGCTCCAACATATGTAAGTACCCCGGTAATAATGAATAGCCTTATTCTCTTCTGGTGTCCCTCTTATGATTTCCAAGGCTTCCTGTTTTGGTTTCCAAGCTTTCCAGTAACTAACTTCACATCCAATTTCATTATGCACCAATGATTTTACCTCTTGTGGTGTTGGTCCTTGTCCTGATGAATCAAAATTTTTGCACATCATTTCGGCAACTACATCATAGGAAGCTTGTTTATGGTACTTTGCTGCACTTCTAATCCCACAATTATACTCACCACATTAATTTTTAACGAAAAAGCGTGATGAATTAGCCAACTTCACAACACGCACATGCCAAGTGCACTCCTCAACAATGCATTTAACAAAAACCAACGAAGGATTAGACTTCTTTGTCTTGAACTGAAACTTTGCAGACACAACAATCATTTTTAGCTTCCTCAAAACTTCCTTTTTTCTTTCAAATATTTCCCCCAGATGAAGATCAGAACGATCACTAAATGTACCTTCATTGAAACACTAGTTGCTCGACATGGTTGTAAAGTTATCCTCCCAAGTCATATTTTCCATAGCACTTGATCGTTCCTAAAATGGCATTCCAACACTCTCTCCCTCCTTAAAACAACTTCCTTTTGAACAAATAGTTCCAGAATCATCAACTTGGTAAGCGTGGGTTACGTTATGCTCCAATGGAAGTTTGTCAAATTATCCATTGGTTCCTCTTCTTCCACTAAAATAGGACTATAATGCTCTTGGATCACATTACAATCACTGCTTTCCACAATAACTTGTGTATCACCACTTCCATAATTTACTATACTTGTCTTTTCAATTTCATCTGCATCCTCATGTAAACAAACTTTCAGGGGTCGTTTGGTAGGATGCATTAGATAAAATAATGCATGTATTAGCTTTGTGTTTTAATAATACTTTGTTTGGTACACTTTTTGAACCTATACATTAATTATACGCCCTATTTGGTATTATCCTATGCATAACTAATGCATAGAAAACCATGGTATTAGGAATACAATGGATTTTAATGCATACATTAGCTTAGTTTAAGACAAAATTGTCCTTCAAAATTTATGCTTGATTAAAATATGCTATTATATTAATGCAAGTTTAAAATAATCCAAATAGTGAAAAATAAAATTATATCCCTAGTAAATAAATAAATAAATACTTAGCATATTTCGTTTTTTATAAATAAATATTTAGTTCTATACTACAATATAGATAGACAAATAAAATAATTTTTTAAATCTTTTTCATATAAAAACATTCTTCAACATATGTTTCTTTTAAAAAGATAGAGTGATAAACTGTTTTTAGGGCATTTTTGTAAACAAATAATTCTTTTAGAAATTGTGCAATATTTTAATACATCAAATCAAACAATGGATAAGAAATATGTCAACATAACTAATGCCAACATAACTAATGCAAGCATAACTAATACCAGCATTATTAATACACCATATTCAGCATTATTCTTATCCACCCTACCAAACGACCCCTCAATGTTGGCCTAGCACCTCGTTCATCAACAATTGTCAAATAGGATTTTAAATCAAAATCATCCTCTATTGGAGCATACAAAGTCTCTTGCCAAGTTTTATCCAAAACCATTGGCTTGTAACTTATAATAATGCAATGAATTTTAATGCATGCATTAGCTTAGTTAAAGACAAAATTATCCTTCAAAATTTATGCTTGATTAAAATATGCTATTATATTAATGCAAGTTTAAAATAATCCAAATAGTGAGAAATAAAATTATATCCCTAGTAAATAAATAAATAAATACTTAGCATATTTTCTTTTTTTATAAATAAATATTTAGTTTTATACTACAATATAGGTAGACAAATCAAATAATTTTTTTAAAAACTTTTTCATATAAAAACATTCCTCAACATATGTTTCTTTTAAAAAGATAGAGTGATGGAATGTTTTAGGGCATTTTTGTAAACAAAAAATTCTTTTATAAATTGTGCAATGTTTTAATACATCAAATTAGACAATGGATAAGAAATATGTCAGCATAACTAATGCCAGCATAACTAATGCAATCATAACTAATATCATCATTACTAATACACCCTATTCAACATTATTCTTATGCACCCTACCAAACGACCCCTCAGTGTTGGCCCAGCACCTCATTCATCAACAATTGTCAAATAGGACTTTAAATCAAAATCATCCTCTATTGGAGCATATGGAGTCTCTTGCCAAGTTTTATCCAAAACCATTGGCTTGTAACTCATAATAATATTTTTCGGATTACATGTTATCTTGCATCGCTGACATATTACTTCTACCAAATCATTATAACGTACTCCTTGGCGATAATGAATCACCCTAATAATTTTCTTCTCCTTAGACTCAAACTCAATGCAAATAGTCAAATCACCCATTGATATCTACATATATTGATGTCACGGCCCAAAACCTAACCCGTCATGATGGCGCCTATCGTGGTACTAGGCAAGCCGACCTTTCCAAAACACTTTCAAAATTTAACAGAAATGAATTAAGACATTTAAAATAATCGGAGTTTCTCATAAATACGGGGTAAAGCCCAGATAAAAGATACGTGCGGAAAAATAGCCCGACATCGGGGTGTCACTAAGTCATGAGCAACTAGACTCTCAATCTAAAAGACAGTGTCTACAATAGTTTGCATCTAGATATCAATACATAGAAAGAAAGATAATAAGGAAGGAGCACAAGGTCTGCGAACGCCGGCAGCTACCTCGTAAATCTCCAGAAGATCAACTGCGCACGAACTCAATGACCTCCACATCCAGTCACACCTGAATCTACACACAAGGTGCAAGGAGTAACGTGAGTACTTCTAACTCAGTAAGTAACAAAATTAAATAAGGAACTGAGAAGCAGTGACGAGCTATACAAATGCAATTCATTTCAGTAATTTCAGCAAGAAAAATAGGCATGCTTTCAATCCGGTGTTTTAAATCAAAACATTTCGAGCTCAGGTACAACAATATAAGCCCTCCAAAACATTTCGCAACAACAACAATTAGCAACGAAGTGCAACAACAATTAAGAGCAAGTACAGCCTCACATGGATACTGTCACTCATCTATCTCAACAGCTCAATCACTCGGCTCTCAGCCTCAATACTCACAATCAAAGGTACCTACACTCACTGGGGGTGTACAAACT